CATCTGACAATGGCCAAAGCTAGGAGGGACTCTGTTCACACAAAGAGGGGTGAGTGCAGGGCGAGGACCGGGCAGCCTTACCACCAGGACACTCAGAAGCGACCCTCCAGCACAGGTCCCCACAGGAGAGAATCTGCAAGGAGGGTGGTGATGCTGAGCAGGATGGGGACAGTGGAGACACAGAACGTCTGGGAGGGGACAACCGTGAAATCTCAGAAAGCAAGTGGCCGCATTTCGGCACTAAATGCCCACCATAGAGGAGGTACTCTGTGAAGACCTTCAGCACAGTGGCCTCAGACCACACCTCCCCTTAGAAAGACGCAGAAAACGAGCAGCAGAAAAGCCCGCACGAATTACTGTTAGAACAAAGAAAAGTAACAGAGAGAAGGGCTGTGGGCACCGAGCTTCAGGCTGCTGCCCCTAGGACGCCGTCACGCACCTCCACGGGGGAGCTCAGCGGCACCAGGGGCTTGCCAGGGATGGAGCCCGAGGAAGCCTCTGGGTCAGCTGCCCACCTGCAGGGAGGTCAGAGGCGCATGCAGCACTGCACCACGAGAGCGCACTGCACCATGAGAGCGGACCCAGCAATTCCAGACCCTGGGAAACTACAGGTCACGTGACCGGGTTGTGAACGGGGCAACTGCAGCAAACAGAAGCGACAGAGGGGCCTGGAGGCTAAAGGAGACTCAGAGGCCTTTACTGTTCACTTTAAGCCCCGTGTCCAGCGACGCCCGGCTGGGTGACCAGCGCTTCCTGTGTCCCTGTGAAATCTGGACACGGCTACTTTGGAGGAGGTGGGGGCTCTGGGACAGCACACGGCAGGGCCCCTGGGGAGGGGGCTGCCAGAGTCCTACCTCCTGAACTAGACAGTGCCTTAAAGGTAGTTCACTGAGCAATGAAAAATCCAGCCAAAAAAAAAAAATGACTATCTTCACCCTCCTCTCAAAACTATAAGGAACTTACAACACTTGAAGGGAGCCCTGGTGGTGCGGTGGTTAAGTGCTCAGCTGCTAACCAAAAGGTTGGTGGTTCCAACCCACCAGCCACTCGGTGGGAGAAAGATGTGGCAGTCTGCTTCCGTAAAGATCACAGCCCTGGAAACCCTGTGGGGCAGCTCTGCTCCACGCTGCAGGGTCGCTGTGAGTAGAACTGACTTGACAGCAATGGGCTTGCTTTTCTTTTTTTGTTACAACACTTTAATTGCCCTTCTCAATTTATGTTGTTACTGTCTGAGATTTTAATTTGTTCTTGGTTTTAGACTAAATTTTTGGTGCAGGCTTTCAGGCTCTAGAGCTCGTTAACACAGGCCGGAGCCCAAATAAGTGCAGGCTCTTGCTAGAAGCACTGCCCCCCCCCATGTAAATGCAGGCTCTTGCTAGAAGCACTGCCCCAGCTCGTTCCTGTCCCTGGCTGACGTTCCCAGGACCCATGCTGGCAGAGCCTTTGCCAACCCTCAGGAACCTGTACTTTCCTCTGATTCCTCCCACCTAGGGATTCCCCTACTTTGCCTACAGCTCAGACTTACATTAGAACAAGACGTCTGGGTTTCTTCCTACACTGTATCCAGCACTTTTACCTGTGTGACACGGGAAGGAATTTCTGCCAGCCTCCATATTGCCCACAGCCCAGCTCTTCGTCCATCTTCACGGCCTCTCTCACCACCAGGAGAGCACTAGTCAGACACCCCAGTGCTGAGGACTCCAGATGGCACAGCCCGCGTTCCCAACAGCCCTGGGGAGCACAGCGCTGCCTGGGGAAATACCACCCTGACCCAGTCCCAGAGCTTCACTCATGACTCCCAAATCTGCACCGCCGGCCCCCATCTCTCATGAGCCCCAAGTCAGCACGGCCGGCCCCCGTCTCTCACGAGCCCCAAATCGGCACCGCCGGCCCCCGTCTCTCATGAGCCCCCAGTCAGCACGGCCGGCCCCCGTCTCTCACGAGCCCCAAATCGGCACCGCCGGCCCCCGTCTCTCATGAGCCCCCAGTCAGCACGGCCGGCCCCCGTCTCTCACGAGCCCCACATCGGCACCGCCGGCCTCCATCTCTCGTAAACCTCACGTGTGACAACCCCACAGTGAGCACGGAGGAGATTCGCGAGGCGCTGATTTCTAGCTCCACCTGGTCTCCCCCCCGTTCAGTAAACAGCATCACACACTCAGCGTACACACCAGGAACTTACCAGGTTATTCCTTCTTTTCCTCCACACCGAATCTATCAACAAGTCCTATTAATCCCACCTCTAAAATTCCTGATTCTACCACCACCCTCAGGCTACCAACATCTCTGAACTGAACGACCCCCGTGTTCTTGGGCCTGCAGTAGCGTCTGCTCAGCGCTCCACGCCCTCTCCTCACTGCTCTCTGGGTGGGTTTGAATGCCAGTGGCCTGCGGGGCTGTGGCATCGACCCAACAGCCCCCTCACACAGTGGGGCTCATCCCCTCCTTCAGACCTCAGCTTACATGTCAACTTTCCGGAAAAGACATCTCTGACCACCTGGCCTAAAACGGGTTCCGGTCTGTCTGTTTTCACCTCTTCCAAGTACCTTCGACCTGGGTGCCCTGGCTGTTCCCTGGCACCACCCTGTCTCCCCCACCCGACGGTACCAGGAAGCAGGGCCAGGTCTACCTTGCTCACCACGCTGGCGCAGCACTTGGAGGCACTCAGACAACACCTCTGAGTTAGCGCATCATCTCTGGCCTCGCAGAAGCCCTGCGAGGCGGTGCTGCGTCTTCATTTGGAAGCTAACTCGGGCTCAGACAGGTGAGTGTCTTGTTCTAGGTCAGACAACAAGTCTGGGGCAGAGGCAGGAGTTTAACCCTGATCTAGCTGATTAAAAAGAACACATTACAGAGACTTCTGTAATAAACGACTAGGACCTAGATGATGCAGATGAGCAGCTGTTTCCAGGAAGCTGTGACCCTGAGACAGGGGTCATCACTGAGCCCACGACCACCTGACTCAGAGCTGGAGCTGGAACCTGGCACGGCCAGTCCCCCAAGTGAGCAGCAGAGACAGCGTTTCGGCAGCTGTACCCAGAGGGAGGAAGCCCCAGCTGCGGCCTGAGGTGGGCTGTACACAAGTAGGGCAAGACCCCACAAAGTGTACAGATGGTAGCTGCTATGGAGTGGGAGCAAAAGAGAGCTATGAGAGGACAGGTAGGGTGCAGGGAGAAGTGCAATGCCAGGACGCTGCAGGTCCCAGGGTGGAAATATCTCGCTAGCCCCTCGGAGTCCCGCTTAGATGCCGAAATGCCTTTCTCTAGGAACAAGGACCACCCTGACAAAGTCTAAAACCAAGCCCTGACAGGAAAGACACGGTTTGAAGGTTGAGACCCGCCAAGCTAGAGAGGCTTGAGAAACATGTCTAGATTCTTACTAACAAAATGTAAAACCAAGCCTCCATGAGTTCCACATACTCAGCCAGAAACTGGACTGCCTATTAAAAGAAGAACCAACACTCTTCAAAGGAAGAAAACAATCCAGGGTCTCTCAACATGTCATCCACAATGTCTAACACTCAATCAGCAATCACTAGACATGCACTCAGACATGAAAACATGATCCACAGTCGAGAAAATAACAGCTTCAACAGAAACTGAATCTGAGATCCCAGATATTGGACTTGACACAGACTTTAAAGCTGCTTTTATAAATATGTTCAAAAAATTGAAAGAAAATATATGGTCTCAAGTGAACAGGGAACCTCAGCAAAGAATTAGAAACTATTAAAAAAAAAAAATACAAACAATGGAAAGCCTAGAACTGCAAAATACATTAACAAACAAAAACTTCACTGGATGGGCTTAATGGCGGACTGGAGATGGCAGCAGGGTCACGAAACCTGTACACAGATTAGTAGAAATTATCCAGTCTGAAGAGCAAAGAGAAAAAAAAAAAAAATGGAAGAAAAACAAACACAGCCTCAGAGACCCATAGGGCAAGATCACAAAATCTAATATATGTGTGACTAAAGTCCCACACTGAAGACATAAGAGTGACACAGAGAAAACACTTGAAGAAATAAAGTCCTAAATCTCCCAAATTTGATGAAAAACACTGACCTACAGATCTAAGAAGCTCAATAAATTCCAAGCAGGATAAATATAAACGAATCTAAACACAACACAGACAAACTGCTAAAAAACAAAGATAAAGAAAAAAAATCTCAGAACAGCCAGAGAAGAGAGATACATTATGTTTGGGGAACAAGGAAAAAATTATAGCTGGACCCCAGAGGACAAAAGAACAACATCTTTAAGGTGCTGAAAGAAAAAAACTGTCAACCCAGAATTTTATCCAGGGGAAATATCCTTCAAAAATGAGAGTGAATTATAACCACTTCAGGTAAACGAAAGCTGAGAGAATACGTCGCCAGTAGACCTGCACTACAAGAAATGCTAAAGGCTGGTCTTCACACCAAAGGGAAATGATGTTGGATAGCAACTCGGATCTATAGAAAAGAATAAAGAGCACCAGAAATGGTCAAATAAGTAAATAAACACAAAACACCACGTGTTCTTTCTCTCTGTAACTTACTTAAAAGACAACTGACAGTTAACAGAATGACAACACTTTAAGGTTAGGCTTCTAACTACTCTAAGGATAAAGATATGACAACAAACAAGCAACTAAATGTTCAGGCGAGCGAACAGGTAACGGCTCCCTTCCTTCATAGGCTATCCACTCCGACAGAGGCTGACCGCATGTACACCCTTCAGTAAGAATACTTACCCATTATTTCCAAAGTCAGCCTAAACCTCATCATATTAAACTACGGTAATCTAACTTTCTCCTGGAAGGAACTTTTAGCTCATTTTGATATCCACGAGTAAATTACTTGAATTTAAAGTATCAAACGTAAAACAAATATTCCAAAGAGTTTAAGACAAAATATGAATGGTAAGAAAGCTGGTTCTCCCACCTGTGTCTGCACATGCATGAGCCGTCAGGTGCCCCCCAAGGCCCCTCCAGACCTAAAGCCCCATATGCCACTATACCTCTGTTCCTGATCCCGGTCCTGGAGAATCCACTTTCCTCTTTTTCCTGGGCCCGATGGCCGCTAGGGCCGTGAGGTTGGCATCTCGCTGTCTCATCTGGGCCAGCTCCTGTTGCTGCATCTTGGTTTTGAAAAGAAATGAGAAATGTCACTTCTTGCCTGTCTTGTACTTACTATGAAAGCAGTATGTAGACATCAAAGGGTTTTTGGATATGTTCTGTGATTTCTTAAATGCTTTGATTTTCTTTTAATAGTTAAGCATATCACTTCTATAATCAGCAAAATATGGACTGTTTAGAAAAGCAGAAGAAGCCCATCCTGGAAAGCTCAGAAAAACAGGGACAAGCTGAAAGCACAGGAGCTAAACGCCACCCAAGGAGAGAGCACTGTTAAATTGAAAACATAAAAAATAGGACACAAATGCTTTGCAGAAGAAAATATTTGGCAGGGTGTTACTTAAACTTCGCAACCATTGTAAATCGCACTATAAAAGCCCACTGTGCAGAAACACCGCCCTTCCCTTAATTGTCTCTCTTGTTACACCTTCAGGCTGAAGACAAGCCTGTTTTCAGGTGTATAAAAAAGAGTCTGTGCCTGAAATAGCCTACCTCTTTTGCTTTCTGTTTCAACCTTAATTGTTCTGGATCTTCTTGTCTGGATCGAGACTATGTTTGGAAAAAGTAGAAAAGAAAAACAAGTTATGATGAAAATGGTTATCACCTAACAAAGCCGCTCTCCTGTTCGTTATACACGATGTCCTTAAGTCGTACGGCAGACTGCATATTGAAATTTTAAAACCCTTACAGCCAAAAGATGAATGCACATCGTGAAAAAGGAACTTCTTCAGAAAGCCGGTATCATCTGAAGAAGGCATGGCCTCTGGCACAGTCTACCAGTTACAGGGATCTGACGTAAGACAGGGTCAGTGTGTCCAGCGCAGGCCTCACAGGCCTGGACTGTTACTGGTCCTGTCCCCACCCACGACCACTGACAACCTAGGTACCACTCCCACTTCAGGATAACCTTCTCCACAGAATCATGGTCTCGTTTCTGAACCTGTTAATAACGAGGTATGTTTCCAAAAAGGAGCCCTAGTGATGCAGTGGTTAAGCACTCAGTTGCTAACCGAAGTTAGCAGTTCAAACCCACCAGCCACTCCGTGGGAGAAAGTGGGGCAGTCTGTTTCTGAAAAGATTACAGCTTGGAAAGCCCTAGGGGGCAGTTCTACTCCGTGCTACAGGGCTGCTATGAATTAGAATTGACTCAACGGCACTGGGTTTTATGTTACCAAAATACACCAAACCCACTGCTGTTGAGTCAATTCTGACTCATAGCGACCCTACAGGACAGAGTACAACTACCCCTATGGTTTCCTGGCTCAAAATGTTCTTCTAGGTCAACACAAAGAATCGCTGGGCATCTAAAGCTCACGTGGGCTCAGATGAGGTGTCACAGGGAGCCCACTCCACAAGCGTTTCTAGGGGTAAATGGTAGCTACACTTGGAGGAATCTGAGGTGTTAAGAACACCTATGCTTCACACGTTTACATCAGCAGGGGATGGAGTGAGTGAGTGTGGGGAGGCTCTTGCAGTTCCTTCTGCAGCACCCCCTCTTCTCGCTTCTTCCAGGCCAGTCATTCCACTGCTCTGGACACCCAGAAGTCTCCCGACCTCTACCTGAGCTGAGCGGTGGAGGCAGGAGTTGGAGACGGAGCGGCTGGGAGAACAGCCTGATCCTGTGAACCCAGCACTTGCCTTGGCGGCCCGCATCAGGATTTCTCTCTCCTGCTCATCTTTCCTCTGCTTTTCGATTTGATCGAGCTGTTCAAAAAACTTGAGCTGAGCCCGGACATCGCTTGCCTGCTCGTATCTGTCATCATCCTGCGAAAAGAGTAAAAACACTGTTTGTCATAAATAAGGGAATTCAGCAAGTAAACGCGGGTGCAGCACAGCTGAGCCGTCTGGGTATGCTGCGTCCTCCTTCCAGCCTCTTCCACAGCTGGTTTTACGACTGGTGAGGGACTGGAACAGCTCCCACCTCACCAGCCTGATCCTGGGCCCGACCGCCGTGTGTGCTAATACACGCAGGGGGAAGAGTTCCTGTTGCTTATCACAGGGGAGAGGCCGGGTGGGGTGTTTTCCATCTCACACACTGTGGTATTGTTTGACCTAACATTTTAAATCTTTTGTAATTAGGTAAGAACCATTGTAAATGTACAATGGTCTACATGTTTTCATGTTAAATGTTGCTCCAAAGGTGCTGACTCCTGCAGTGAGCGCCCCTCCCCGCACCCTGCTGCCCCTCCTGACAGCCCATGCTCCCCGGTGTCCTTGGAGTGGTGGTCACAGGGTTTCTAAGATGGGGGCACACTCTGCCTTGAAAACCTTCTCTGTGAGGCTGGGGCTGACAGATGACCCGCAGGGAACAGGACAATGCTCCTAGGCCCACGGTCAGGCAGGACAGGACACTCACTTAGGGTCAAGGTTTGGGCGGTGGCTGGGGGAGGGGCCGTGGCGTGCAGGTGCTGGACCCAACCTGCAGGGTCCCGCTGGCTCCTCCGCCCCAGGGCTGAATGAGGGGAAGACTCCCTAATTTACTAAGCTGACGGGGTTCCCTTTCTACTGTACAATCCCCACAGAGCGGCATCTCCGCCCCACCGTCCCTACAGCTAAAAGAAATGAAATCTATTTCTGTGTAAAATTCAGAACAAGTTCAAAAAGACCCCTCCCCACCGCGTCTGCCTGGACGTGGGAAGAAGCTTCCACCCAGTGCAGTGTCGCGAGGCCAAGACAGAGGGACGCGCTCTTCAGGGAAGCAGCACCCTTACCTTGTAGGAGAAGTTCTTCTGCTGCGCCGTCTCGGATATTTTCTCCACAAGATTCTGCAGCCTCTGCTGCGTGGCGTGTGACACGTAACTTACTACGTCTGGATGCAACTCCGTGATGCCGTGTTTTTTACCTGGGTTAAAGGTCAGGCAATGAAAAAGGGTATTTCCAGTCACTTAAACATGTCTCTCTCCTCAAGACTTCCCTGCTTTTTCTCTCGTCCGCCAGTTACTGCTTCGTGCCCTCTGACGGAGCCCCCCGGGAGTGGAGGAGGGTGGTCCAGGCACCTCAGCTACCTGAGAGCTGTCACCGTGAGCCACAGGGACATAACTGTGACACGGGCAGTTACCTGACAAGGTACACCACCTGACGCCAGCCGCCGACAGCAGGGCTGCTGGTAAGAGGAAACCTTCAAAACGAGTCTGTGTTAAAGTCACGGTGCACACCTCACCCACGCGTGGACACTCCTGGTCATGGTCATCAAACACCAACTCACCTATTTCTAATATTCTTCTTTGTAAAGGAGCTGGGAGGAGGAACGTTTCGTCTTTACAAGACCTCGTGAGCGTGCCCACTAGTTCAGAGTTTGTGGCTAATATTCTCGCGCTTTCTTCTGACAAGTTTACTCCCGCCATCGAGGCGACATCATTGATGTCATCGTCGTCCCTAGAGAACAGGAGGCGAGATCACAGTAACTGCACAAGGAACACGTCAGGAGGTGCCTTCGCTGGCTCTGACCCAGGGCAGTGATGGTGAGGGCTGGCCGGGGACCTCCGGCAGGAGCACGGCTGATGCCCACTCGGGCCCTCTATCCCCAGCTCCTTCCCTCCTGCGTTCCTTCCACAGCCTGAGAGGGAGCTGCCTAGTTCATCTGAGCATTAATCCCTGCTTTCAAAAGGAGACCCTTTTGTGTGGGGCTGAAGCCAGGACCAGTTCTTAAGTGCTCACAAGTGTGTAAAGAGTTCGGCACAGCAGGCACGCAGGTGGGGAAGCAGAAAGCAAGAACACCTGTTGCTCGGAGGCGTCTGTTCCAAGCGGAGGCTTGTTCTGGGTGTTTCTTCCACTCACAGCCAGCATCCGTTTCTTTTTTAAAACAATCACAAACTCACAGAGAAGTTGGAAGAACGGTACAGAGACATTTTCCGGATGCATTTCCTCCAGACAAGGGTGTCCCCCACGGAACCACGGGCCCCTGGCCCTCCTCAGACCCCGAGTCGGGCTGACTGTCCTGACGATGTCCTCCACGGCAAGGGTGCCACTCCGCGTCTTGGCTGCACTGAGTCCCATCTTGACTCCCCTTGAGCCTCAGTTCGCTGACCCGAGCTTGGGGCCTGATGCTCTTGAGGCTCTCGGGCAGGAGCTGCAGAACGCAGCACGCCACAGGCCAGGCAGCCTTGGTGGACATGCACGAAGCGGCCGGCCTTCTGCTCACTGTGTGACAGGTGGCCAAGCTCAGCCGTCCTCACTCGGTGCACTCGAGCCTGGGGCACCTGCCGGCCGTCCACCACCACATGACTGTCCCCTGTGGTCAGTGAGTACTTCCTGGGGGGCACGCTGAGATCACGGACACCCCACTCTGTATAAACATCCAACCTACTCGTGATCGATGTCTGCACGGACTTGGGGTTTCCAATCTGACTCAGTGGTTTGAATCTGTCACCATCACTACGAGATGTGCTCTCACTGTCCCCCATGCAGCCATGGGAAGGTCCATTTGAGAATGTGAACTTCTCAATCTTTGAGCACTTCCTGCTTTGGGCGTTAACGACATGGTCAGCTCCCCTTGCTCTACTCCTACCCCAGCCCTGGAACCAGCCTGTCCTCTGAGGGCTGCTTACTTTGGGAGAATGGAATTTAGAAGACAAGATGTGGGTGCATGGTGTGCCCATGCTGCTGGGGTGTCACAGTGCCTGGGGCTCACGGTGGACAAAGCAAGGAGCTTCCACCTACAGTTGTGTCCAAATCCAGCTCTGCAAAGCAGTGAATTGCTTTAATTCAGTCCTTCTAGCCATGGTCTTGTAACTCCCACAAAACAACTGGGTGGAGCTATGCAAGTAAGGTGCTTGTGGCCCATCAAGGGATTGGACAGTTTTGCTAATGCAAATAAGGTGCGTGGAACCCTTCAGGGGGGTAGCACCGTGCAAATAAGGTGCCTGGAACCTTTGTAGGACATTGGTCAGTTTTGCCATCTGGCTAGGCTTAAAAGGAGCCAATCCCAGAGGCTGGGGGGAACCTCACTACCATCAAGAAGAGCCAGGAGTGGAGCACGTCCTTTGGACCCAGAGTCTCTGCACTGAGAACCTCCTAGACCCTGGAGACAAAGAGAGCTCTGGAGCCAGCAGTGGTGCCAGATGGTAGGAACCGGGAGAACAGCTCAAGACAGCACGGTGGGCTTCCTGGTCCACACAGCGAGGTGGCTACGGTGGGTGTGCTGTCCCAGAGTGAGAGAGCTGAGCACCTTGACAGGATGCTGGCTGCAGAGTGCATCCAGGCACTTGTGGGCAGAGCTAGGCTCCCCGAATCACTGAGCAAGAGAGCTGAGCGCCTTCGGGCAGGAGGCTTCCTGGTGGAGTGCAGTGCGCGTCTGGGCACTTACTGGTGGAGCTAGAGAGCTTTGTAATACTTGCCCGAGCAAGGGAGAGGGCAGGCCGAGAGTCAAGGGCCGAGGGCCAAGGACAAGGGCCGAGAGAGACGCCTGCCTGTGGGCAGGGCCGAGGAGAAACTGTCCTGATCGAAGAACTATATCCTGAGTCCTTCCTGTTACCTCCAAGTTGATTCTGATCCTGAATTGTAACATGTTACTTCCCTCATAAACCCCATAATCCTGAGTACCGTCTGTGAGTCAGTGTGGCCACTGTAATGAATTACCGAACTCAGCAGAGAAATAAAGAGTGCCGCGGGAGGGATGGCTGGTGTCAGAACTGGTGAAAAGGTAGGAGAGTGGAGGTGTGTCTGACCTCCTCATAGGAGTCAGCTTTGGGCTGTGGATGGTGATTTTCTCTCCCACTCCTGAAGTCAGGGGACTTGTGACACCAGCCCTTTTAACAGGCTCTGTACACTGAAGTCCCCGAGTTTACACCCACACATCCACCTCCATGTACAGTCGTGTCTACACCCAGCTCTGTACACTGAAGCCCCCGAGTTTACACCCCCATGCCCACTTCCATCTATAGCAGTGTCTATACCCGCATCTGTACACTGAAGCCCCCGAGTTTACACCCCCATGCCCACTTCCATCTACAGCAGTCTATACCCGCATCTGTACACTAAGTCCCCGAGTTTATACCCGCACATCCACCTCCATCTACAGCAGCGTCTATACCCGCATCTGTACACTAAGTCCCCGAGTTTACACCCGCTCGTCCAC